GCTAAGCATGTATTGGAGGAGTAATTAGCCATCTATGCATCGACTAGTATCAATAATTGATTGTTAGATCATCGATGTTGTAGACCATCGATTATGGTTCGTAGAAGTCCATAATTAATCCTTGTTTTTTAGAAAGACATACAACTAGGGTGTCTCAGTTCGTATTAACAATAAAGCATTATTGGGATATACCCATAGCATAAAAAATGGATCTAGTTTGTAAGCCTGGACCCCCAATCTTGACCAGCCAATCATGAGCCAACAATCGGTTAATTTCCATTGCAATCAAGTCGTGACGATGGTCAATTCTTATTTATTCCTGATAATGTTTGTTGCAATGGTTGTGTCGAGGCAAAGATAGACTTTTTCGATAACCTCTTTGCCAAGCCATGTCAAGTCCAATTGTTGTGGCCTAACTTCATTGTTCTCATTGACTAGGTGATGACAAGAAGCGAAAGCATGCATTGACTAGTCAGATCTCTATCCCAAGAGGCGCGTGCACGGGTAGAGAGTGGCGTTAGAGGAAGGGATAGGCCTTCATAATAGATGATGCATAAAAGAATCTCATTGTTTAGTTAGTATGTGTGATCATCTAGAGAACACTAGCTAAACAACCCTTTTCCTTGCTTTACATGTTTGCATCCTTGCATGCAATGCATTGTTTGCTGGTTTCCTTGCATAAGTAGAGTAGGGCCACAAAATCAAGGGCACCTGAACCCACATCATATTTACTTTTTCTTACATCTCAATTCGAGCTCAATAGGTTAGGTTTGAGTAGCTACTATTAAAACACCTCGTGAAATACGACTCTAGGGCATCTTAGGATTTATCACTCGATACTGCATCATCAAGTATTACTCAACCTTACTCGCACTTAGTGTAGGGCGGGTATGGATATTGAGGTATCCGCCCCACCACATTGCTAGGGGGATGTGAGTGGGTCGGTGGGGAAGAGGTAGCATGGTTGTTTTAACAGACGGTGGATAGTGTAGGTTTTTAGGGAACAAAGAGGAAGGATAAGGGAAAATGTTTGATGGTTTTGTTGTGGGGTGGAGATGATGTGGAAAAATAAATAAAAATATTTTTTTGTTTATTAACTGCCATGTCACCATTTTAATGGTTACCTGTCAAATAATATAAATTTTCTGCTCTGTCTCCATCGATTCCCAGGTGAAACCCAGTACCCTTCTGTTTTGATTCCCAATGAGTTTTCGATGGCTGGATCTACAGTTACGAGGCCGACTCCGCGATGATGGTAAAGAGGCAATGATTCAAGTGGAATATCTAGAAGGAGCATCGAGGGAGGAGCATAGGAGTTCGACTTTGTTTTTGCTTCTAATGGAAATTGGAATCTTCGAGGGATTAGCAGAGGTTTGCCTTTCTTTTTTGCTTCTATGGAATTTCCATCGACAAGGATAGATGAGCAATGAATGAGGCTAATGTTAGAATAAGAAAAAAATATAAGGGACAAAAGTGGAATAAAAAGATAGATAGAGAATTATTTGTTCACAATCTCAGCTATAATTAGAAATTGTCAATCCTTCATTTTGAAGATTAGAAGTGGACTCTTAAAAAGTAAATATATATATATATATATTATAAATTTGTTCACAATCTCAGCTTTAGTTAGAAATTCTCAATTCTTCATTTTGAAAATTAGAAGTGAACTCTTAAAAAGTAAATACATATATTGTAAATTTGTAACTCAATACACCACATCAAATCACAAGCTACATTCTGGTAATGAGAGTTGTCTGGTCACAGCTATTTACAGTCCAAATAAGGTGAATGGCAGGCAGTTCTGTATGATGAGTTGAGGAGGCAGGGGGTGTTCAATGAACCTAGAGTGCTCTTTGGGGATTTTATTGCTATTGTGGAAAGTAATGAAGCTTCAAATTGTCCAGGTTCTACGCAGAGTATGGTTGACTTTCGTCAATGGATTCTGGATATGTAGCTGATAGATCATAAAACTTTAGGTTCGTGGTTTACTTGGTGGAATAAGTAATCTGATAATCCCATTGCTCGGAGGATTGATCGGGTTTTGGTCAATATGAAGTGGCTGGATATATTTCCTAATAGTGTAGTCCAGACAATTGCTCTTGTGGTCTCTGACCATTGCAGGCTTGTTGTTCAAACAGACTCTAAGATGTCCACATTGCCAAAGCCTTTAAATACTTCATGTTCTGGCGGCAGCATCCACAGTATAGAAGTCTTCTTGAGGAGGCTTGGCAAGGGGCAGCATCAGGAGAGCCTTATCAAATTCTATATAGGAAGTTGGGGGGGTGCTCAAGGCAAAGCTAAAGGGTCTGAACCGAATTGCTTATTCAGAGATTTCAGTTAGAACAAGGGAGGCTGAGGCAAAGCTGGAGGTGCTTCAAAGTACTGTATTGGCTAGCCCATCTGAATTTGCTTCTCGGGCGGTTTTAGAACAAGAGAAAGTGTGCGCTGAGTTGCACAATGCTGAAGAATCTTTCTACAGGCAAAAGTCTAGGGTTCAGTGGATTACGAAAAGTGATACCAATACTGGTTTCTTCCATGCTGTGGTGAAAACCAGGAATCATAGGCAGACTATCCAGAAGCTTGTATTTGATACATGGGAGGTGGTTACAGATATCAAGGGTATGAGCGCATTAGCAGTGGACTTTTATAAAGGGCTTTTGGGGGCTGCTGATCCTATGGTTCAGCCGCAATCACTGGAATTCTTTGAGGAGCTCTTATGTCATAAGTTGACCACTGATGAAGCTGTTGTTCTGATTACACTAGTTACTAGAGAGGGGATTAAGTCAGTCTTTTTTTCACATGGGAAGGGTAAAGCTCCAGGACCTGATGGATACATTGCGGAGTTCTTCAGGCTTGATTGGGATATTGTTGGTGTCGAAGTGGAAAATGCAGTTCTTGATGTCTTTGCTACTGGTGTTATGCCTCGTAAGGTAAATTCAACAGTTATCTCTCTTATTCTTCAACTTTCCATAGTAGAGAAGATGAAAGACTTTCGTCCAATATCGTGTTGCAATGTGATCTACAAGGGTATCTCAAAGCTTCTGTCTAATAGGCTTTCTCTGGTTTTGCCGAAGCTCATAGCTAAGAGTCAGTCCGCAGGGTCGTTTAATTAGTGATAATATACTCATGGCAACTGAATTGGTCAAATATTATCATAGGAGTACAGTCTCACCTAGATGTGCTTTAAAGATATATCTAATGAAAGCTTTTGACTCTATGGATAGGGGTTTTCTGCTTATGGTGCTTAGAGCTATGGGTTTGCTTTGAGTTTTGTCCAGTTGGTGGAGTCATGTGTTTCTACACCAATGCTAAGTGTATCTTTTAATGGCGGGTTGTGTGGCTACTTCCCAGCAGCGAAAGGGCTGAGACAGGGGATCCATTATCCCCCTATCTCTTTACAGTGGTTATGGAGGTGTTCTCTTGCCTTCTCAACAGGGCAGTGGTTCATAGTCTGGTTCCTTTTCACCCGCGTTGTAAGAGTTTGGAGATTTCTCATCTCTATTTTGCGGATGATCTATTAGTTTTCACTAATGGATCATCTCGGGCTATGGTTGGTATCAAGCAGGTTTTAGACCAGTTTTATCATATCTCAGGGCTTAAATGCAACCCTCAGAAGTGCCAGCTATTTTGTTCAGGAATCTCTCAAGATGAAAAGCATGTTTTATCTCAGCAATCTGGGTTCCCTTTAGGTGAGCTCCCTGTTCGCTATCTTGGGGTGCCACTCCTTTCTGGGAAGTTGTCGTCAATTGACTGTGACTGTCTAGTAGAGAGAATGACGAAGAGAATACAAACATGGCAAGATAGATTCCTAAGTTATGCAGAAAAGTTACAGTTAATTGACTCAGTAATCACAATTGTGTTCCAGTATTGGGTGTCGATCTTTTTACTTCCATTAAAGGTGCTTAAGTTGATTGAGATGGTTTGTAATAGATTCTTGTGGGGTATGGATGGTGATAAGAGGAAGAAGGCTCATGTTGCTTGGTCACAGGTAGCTTTGCTGTGACAGGAAGGGGTTTGGGTATTAGAGATTTTAAAACTTGTAATAAAGCTTGTGTTATTCGTCACTTGTGGAATATTCTTGCAGAGGCAGGCTCGTTATGGGTGGCGTGGATGAATAAGTATAGTATTAAAGAGAGAAATATATGGTATCTCCCTGTCAGTACTGTTAGTATATGGGTCTGGAAGAAAATACTCAAATGCAGGCAGGTGGCGCAGTAGCACATTACTGGAGGGGTGGTGAATTTGGCTTGGGATGGCCTGGTTTCTCGATACTCATTTAAGCGGATATGGGGATCGATTAGAGTTCCTTTTCCTGTTGTATCGTGGGCTCATATCGTTTGGAGCAAACCTGTATATCCTAAGCATTGTGTGCTGCTGTGGTTGATTATCTTGGGAAGGATCCGCACGAGGGACAAGCTTATCAGTTGGGCGATCAATTGTGATGGATGTTGTGTATTATGTCCAAGGGGGTTTGATAGTAGAGACCATCTGTTTGGTTCTTGCTCTTTTAGTACGGAGGTGTTAAGGCTAGTTCTGCAAGATGTTTGTGTGTTTCCTATGTTTGTTGAATGGAAATTGCAGTTGGAATGGGCTGAGCAGGTCTGGTCGCAGTCCTCTGATAAAGCAGCAGTTGGAAGGATATTATGGATCATGGGAATCAGTACTATATGGAAGGAGAGATGTGCGAGATTGTATGGAGGTGGGGCTGCCAATTCTCCTTCTCAAGTTGCCCAGAAGATTATGAAGGAGTTTCTCATATTTGCAAGTGGACAGAACCCTTACCAGATGAGAGTACAGAGAGTTTTGAAGCACCGAAGTAGAGTTGTGAGTTTTGTTATCTTTGCAGTTGGGTTATGAAGTTTAGTTTGTAATAGCATAATTACATTTTTTGAGAGATTTTGCAAGTTGCACTTCTTTACGCTTTAATGCAATTTTTGATTAACCATTAAAAAAAAATGACAAGCTACAAACAACTCCTAAGGGGTCAATGGTGTAATTCAGCCACATGTAGTTGATGAGGTCTGGTCACCGACTTCGTCTACAGAAGATCGACAAAGAAAATAGAAGGACTAATGGATTTGGAGAGCGTGAAGAGGTATCTGGAGAAAGGTAGTGGGCTTCTGGAAGATGACGACAAGAATCGATCAGCGATCGACGGTATTCCTAACAGATTCTTCGAGCGATTCATTATGCAAGGCCTTCATGTCGATCTTGTGGAACCCGGTCGCGTTATTTGCTCCATGAAAGTCCCACCTCGTCTCCTGGTACGCTAACTTGCTCCTTTTTATCATTTGTCGCTCGATTTAAGGAGAAACCCGAATTTGCCATGACCTGAATTCTTCATTTAGGGTTGTTTGTTAGCTGAATATGGGTGGAATTTTGAGGATTAGAAGACTATCCTGTTTATTTCAGAACTGAAAGTTGCAGGCTTTGGTGTGGGAATATTCGTTTAGACCTTTTCCCCCTCGCTCGGTTCTAGTGTAAATTACGCTCCTGATTGTTGGAGTTGAGTTTTCGTCGATATTATACATGTTCAGTATTGCAGAACGCTGGCAACTTCTTGCACGGTGGAGCCACAGCCACACTCGTTGATTTGGTTGGGTCAGCTGTGATATTCACGGTTGGAGCTCCGCAGACTGGAGTTTCAGTTGAAATCAACGTTTCATACTTGGATGCTGCTTATGTCAATGTGGGTATTACTGCTCTTTCTGTGTTACTCTTTTACTTGTATTAGACTCAATCTTGCACATGGTCGTTCAAGTGATCATTGTTCCTTCCCTTGGCTGATGTCAATTGCAAATGACCAGCAGTGGTATATGTTTTTCTGTAGAAAATTGTGATGAGGTTCTGAAACATATTTGCTAGGTCAATGTGATTTCTGTATTTTGAGGTTGAAGAACTGAGTTTGGTCCATCTGTATCTTGATCGTCCTGTCGTAAAGGGTTCTTCTTCCTTTTCTAGTTTGCTGTAAGGTTAGAGTATCTATGGTTGCTGGTAAACTTTTTTCGGACTTGGCTGTGACTGTAAACAATGTTGAGTGCCTCTAGTTTCAGCTTTGAAGTCCGTGTGCCATTCCTTAGTAGTTCAACCTTTGTACAATAAGAATATATATATAAACTAGTTTCGCTCTACAATCAGCAAGAAGTGAAGTTCCTTGTGTTTATTATGCTGAGGACGCAGAAGTCCGTAGTTGCATTCAGTTGAGATAGTAATGGTTGAAAGATATAGATTTTGGTCCACCTCTCATTTCATGCATTTTTTCGGCATGGGAACGAGAGCTCTGCTTCCTTGTCTTGCTCGAAACTCAGAACTAGATACACGGGTTTCCTGTGGTATTCATCTTTGCCTGCCTAATAAGGCAGTGAATGTCTATGGCCCATTCGAATCTTAATTCGGGTGGAAAGCTCCAAACACTTCTTTGTATTAGACTGTGAACTTCTGAATATCAATTGGCATATAGTTCTCGCTTCCTTCTTGCACGCATCAAGTCTTGTCTCGCATGTAGCTCAGATATAATAAAGTCGATGATTTGAAACAGGAAGAGATAGAAATTGAAGCCAGAATATTGCGAGTTGGGAAGGCTGTTGGAGTTGTCAGCGTCGAGTTCAGGAAGAAGAAAACAGGCAAGATTATTGCTCAGGGGCGTCATACCAAATACCTTGCTGTTTCTAGCAAAATGTGAATTGCCGCCAGCACCAGGGGTAACTATCCTACAACTGTTTTTCTTGTATTGTAGATGCATACAGGGATAAGTCTGGTTTCAATATAAAGCTAGCAGAATTTGACATTTGCTTCCACACTATTGGTAATCTTGGAAATTGACAAAGTCCTCCCTGTTTGTAATAATTGATCACAAACTTGGCTGGGTGTATTGAGAAAATGAAATTATACAGAAACCTCGGTTTAATGGGGGGAAAAACCTCAGAGTAAGAGAGGAGAGACATTATAGTTGAGCTAGGCTTCAAGAATGGTGAAGTCGTTACGGCTCAAGGTCGAGCAGGTGGTCTTTGTATGTTCTGGACTGGTGTTGGTGAATCGAAATTGAGATCAACCAAATTCTTGCAGGCGCTGAAAAGAGAGGTGACAACCTTATCACAAGAATTTAGCTTCCGGGTTCTGGGAGTGGAGTCTTTCTAGTTGATATTAGGAAATCTTTATTTGAAAGAGACAACAACATAGAAAACAACCTCACAAGATTGTGCCGTGGAACAAATGGCGCCTCAGCAAGGTCCATGCTCTGATGATGGTTACTCAACAGGGATAAAAATAAATTGGAATGTTAATTGGTGCTCTAGTGAGAAAAATGGTGATCGGCTACCTAGATCTGAGCTATCTCCCACCTGAATGGAACCATAGTCTTTTGGCTTTAACCCAAAAATTAAAATCCCCAGAGTCCCGGTGATTTTCGTCCTATCAGCTTATGTCGTATTATCTACAACCTAATCTCTAAGACGCTAGCCAATCGACTTAAACTTGTCCTTGATAATCTGATCTCGTAGACTCAAATTGCATTCGTGCCGAGAAGACTCGTTAGAGATTGAATGCTTTCATTAGAGGTGCTAATAAAACTTGTAACTCAAGCTCAAGTTATGTACCCTGTATCGGTATTTCAACTTCGAGAAGGAATTATTGAAGAAATCCAAGGGATTATCTCACAATTCTGGTGGAAAAGAAGGAATTTAGGCGCCCCTGGATCCGCTGGGAGCCTGGGACAACTTTTGTGATGAGAAGAAGTTTGTTTAACAGGGCTTTCGAGATGTAAAAGCTTTTATTAAAGCTACGCTTGCCAAACTATTATGGAGTGATGTCACAATACCTTCATCCCTAGCGTCGAAGCTTCTTAACGCAAAATACATTCTTAAACCTACTTTCTCGGAGGCTAGAGCAAAGCCTACTAATAGCTTTATCTGGAAAAGACTATTGGAAGCTAAGAGACGTCAGTCGATGGTGAACTAGAAAACAGAAGAAAAAGATGTGTATGTTTGGGTGATTGTAAGATGTCTTTTTCATAACTTAACTAATTTTTATTTATATTGGATAAATGCCACATTTGGTTACTGAAATTACTAAATCGTGAAGTTCCTGGGAAGGGGTTTTGGAGCTCTGACTTTGTAGGAGCGGCGAAAAGTAAGTTTGGGCGATCTAGGGTTTCTTTCCACCCACCATGCCGGCGGTGGCCGCGCCTGCAAGTCGGTGTGGGTATGAGCAGCCCCCCTCTGGCGGAGACGGTAGCCGGTCAACGTAGGCCTCTCCTACAGATTCATCTTCGCCGAATCCTAAGGGGGATAGGGAAGCACAACAAACAAAGAAACGGGCGAAGCAAAGTGACGAGGGCAGAGATACGGGATGAGGAACTACATGACGCAAGTGACTGAGGGCAGCAAATTGTCAGGTCAGGCCAGCCCCCGCCCTTCGGTGTGGGGAGCGGGTGCGGGAGCAGCAAGGAGGCTGTTTGGTGACTCTGCACGAACGGGTGTTTGGTACATAGCCGACTCCGATTCGGAAGATGTGGCGGAAGCAACAAGGGAGGAGGGTAGGGATGCAGGTTTCGATGGAGAAGTGGATCCCAAGTGTCCGGATATTTACTACACAGCAGCGGAGGAGAGGCTGTTTAATCGTGAATGGCGATCAGCATTAGTGGTGAAGGCCCTGGGGAGGTCTGTCTCCTACACACTGATGGCGAAGAGGCTAAACATGATATGGGCGAAAGCGGGAGGCATACAGGTTACGTCAGTTAAAAATGGCTACTTCCTGGTGCGCTTTACGAGTGGAGTGGACTACGAACGAGCTGTGGCGGGAGGTCCATGGATGGTGGGCGATCATTACTTGACTGTGCACCCCTGGACTAAGGATTTTAATGCATACGAGCATGAGATTTCTTCAACTCTTGTTTGGGCACGCCTGCTTGAAATCCCGATACAGTATTTCCACCCAGTGGCTGTAATGAAGATTGGGAGTCGGATGGGCAAACCACTGCGCGTTGACCACGCGACGAGCACTGGTGCTAGAAGCGATTATGCGCGGGTCTGTGTGCAAGTGGACCTTACCAAGCCCCTTGTTGTCACATGGTAAAACCTATTACATCCAATATGAGGGTTGGGAAAATATTTGCTTGAAGTGTGGTACCTACTCTTCGGGAGGTAAGTGCTTTTTCCCACATACAGTTGCAAGCATGAATGCCGAGAGCCCCCTACCACAAGAACCGGTCAAAGAAGTGATGATGGAGGCCTCTAAGTCACCGAGAGCCCCGGAAGGCCATTACGGCGAGTGGATGATAGCCAAGAAGAGGCCGCGTGCGAGGAAGGAGGCAGTAACACAACGCTCGGGTAAAGATGGGATGAAGTAGACGAACAGAGCCTCCGGGTCGGCCAGTGGTTCGAGGTATCACGCGCTAGCTATAGATGAGATGGAAGAACAAGAGAGCGATTATGTGAGAGAAGAGCCACGAGCGCCTCGAAGCGGCAATTATGATGACGAACAGGCTAGAAGAGTCCCCCAGGGGAAACCCGAAAAAGGGACGAGTCAGAAGAAACACATCCATGTAGAGAGTTCTCCTCGCTCACGTGAAAATTCTACCCCCAAGGAAGCAGTTGAGAAGACAACTAAGCACACCGAGACCATTGTGATCGAGCCAGGGTTGAGCCATGCAACATACACGATGGAGAGACAGACATTTAGTGGTGTGCCAAAGGCCAGCGAAAATGAGGTGCAAGCAGTGGGTCCGACGAAGGATGGTGGCCCGACGTTGGTGTCGGGCAAGGGTTCTTGCTGTGTTCCGGACCATCCTACCCGACCACCCGATAAAATGAGTTTGGATGCCCAGGAACCACCGGTGACCGAGAGTGGAAGACTCGAAGTAGCAAGGGCAGGGACCAAAGTGATGCCAGGGAGCCTCGTGCCCGGAGGTGCCCCCATGCAGACGTGATTTTTTGTGAATGTGTAGACCTCTTTCCATCGATTAGATCATGTTGAATATCTTCTCATGGAATTGTAGGGGTGCGGGAGGGAAACGCTTCCTCAGAGTGTTCAGAGAATATAGACGTCGATATCGTCCGTGTATGGCTATTATAGTTGAGCCGAGAATAAGTGGAGGCAAAGCTGAGAAGGTTGTCCAAGGGATGGGATACGATAAATGGTTAGTCGTAGAGGCGGCAGGTTTTGCTCGGGGCATCTGGTTAACATGGGACTCCTCCAGAATCTCAATTACGGAGGCGGATCGGTCCGAGCAATTTCTCCATGTACAGGTGACTAGTGGGCATAATCTCTGGTACTTAATGGCGGTTTACGATGATCCTGCTCTCGTGCAGCGTCGAAGCCTTTGGCAAGCAATCCGCTCTATTTCTGAGGAGATGGTGGACCCCTGGATCCTCGCGGGGGATTTTAACTCAATTCTACAGCCGTCAGATAAGCTGGGGGGTGCCCCTTTTGATGCAAGTAGGGTGAGAGACTTTCAGGAGTGTGTTCTTGATGCAGGGCTGATTGATCTTGGCTATAAGGGTCCACCGTTTACGTGGTTTCGCACGGGGTTGAAGGAAAGGTTGGATCGGGGGCTTGCGAACCCGCTGTGGTCCTCCCTGTTCCCGGACACTGTTGTTCGCCATTTGCCCAGAGTGAAGAGTGATCATAGGCCTATACTGCTTGCCCTGAATCCCCAATTCCAGCCTGCGGGCCCAAAGCCGTTCAAGTTTATAGCTGCCTGGCTGCTTCATTATGACTTTAAGAACATGGCGGAACGAGCATGGGAGCGAGGGACTGATTTACTTAGCTCAATCAAAGAATTTGCGGAGGAGGCTAAAGCGTGGAATATTCACACTTTTGGGCACATCATCCGTAAAAAGAATGCACTCCTGGCAAAGATCGAGCGCCTGGAGGTGCGAACAGGCAGTAATGATGATAACGCAGCTCTTAGACAAGCTCGAGATGAGCTGGAAGATATCCTAGTTCAGGAAGAGTTACTTTGGTGCCAGAAGTCGAACTTGGAATGGGTCACTTCGGGAGACAGAAAGACGAAATATTTTCACTCGCGTACTATGAAGCGCAGACGGAATAATAGAGTCACTGTCTTGAAGGATAGCGAGGGACAATGGGTGGACGATCCAGATCTTCTCCTGGATATGGCCCGTCAGTTTTTCACTACTCTTTACATGGATGATGGACTACCGATCAGTGTGATTCAAGGGCCATTCCCAGAGGTGCCGAGCTCTCTTTGGCAGGCCACGGAAAGGGAGTTTACGGAGGAGGAACTGTTTGGGGCGGTCAAGTCTATGGGGGCTTTGAAAGCTCCAGGTAAAGATGGGTTAAATCCGCTTTTCTACCAAAGATGCTGGAACCTGGTTGGGAAAGGAGTGGAGGACTTTGCTAAATTGTGTTGGGACGAGCCGACGAGGATCAAGAATGTCAATGCCACGGTCATCACGTTGGTCCCCAAAATCCAACGGCCGACGATGATAGAGCATTTCCGGCCCATCAGCCTCTGCAATGTGGCCTATAAGATGATTACCAAATGCCTTGCCGAACGTCTGAAGCCTCTTATGCCCCTCCTGGTTCATGAAACTCAGACGAGTTTTGTGCCCGGGAGACATATTACTTACAATATTTGTGTTTTACAGGAAGTTGTCCATTCGATGCGGGCGAAGAAGGGGAAAACAGGGTGGATGGTTTTGAAGATTGATCTAGCCAAGGCTTATAAATCGTATTAAATGGAGCTTTGTTCGGGACACTTTGGCTGCAGCAGGTCTCCCACGAAGTCCATTGATATTACGATGAGCTGTGTTTCTACAGCTTGTATGCAGATCCAGTGGAACGGAGGTCTTACGGAGGAGTTCACTCCCACCAGAGGGCTTAGGCAGGGCTGCCCGCTATCCCCCTATCTGTTCACCCTATGCATGGAGAGACTGGGGCACCTATTAGTGCCGCCGTCGGGGAGGGCAGATTGAAGCCGATCACTTGTCACAACAGGGACCTCCGTTGTCACATCTATTCTTCGCTGACGATCTCATTTTCTTTAGTGTGGCATCTCTTGAGCAGGTACAGGTCATCTCGCAATGCCTGGAAGACTTTGGGGCGGCTTCTGGTCAGCAAGTGAGTAGGCCTAAATCGAGGGTCTTCTTCTCCCAGAACATCTCTAATGCTGTTGGTAAAACTCTGAGTGACGCTCTCAATATCCCTCAGACCACGAACCTTGGGCGCTACTTGGGCGTCCCGGTGATCCATGATCGAGTGTCGAAGGCGACTTTTGTTGATTTGGTGGATAAGATTGATGCTAAGTTGGCTAGCTGGAAAGTAGCAACTCTGTCTCTAGCAGCACGGATCACTTTAGCGCAGTCGGTTCTGGGCGCTTTACCTGCATACATAATGCAGACATCGTTTCTCCCGACAGCAGTTAGGGACTATATTGATAAGAAGATTCGGGGCTTTATCTGGGGGAGCTCCGAACAGGGACGGAAGATCCACCTGGTTGACTGGATTCTCTATGCAAGCCGAAAGCGGAAGGGGGCCTGGGTCTCCGAAATGCTACTAGAATGAACGAGGCCTTTATGTTGAAGATTGCCTGGAGGATGTTGTCGGAGCCAGACAGCCTTTGGGCTCGAGTTATCAGTGCCAAATACCTCCGAAATACTGCTGAAGGGTGGGTCCCCGCGCACTACAGGTAGACTATCCAACCTTTGGAGGGGGGTCTTACGTGTCCTTCATCTGTTACCTAAGGGAATTATGTGGAATGTTAGGAATGGCATGAGAACCCGCTTCTGGGAAGATGTCTGGCTACAAGATGGGCCCCCCTTGAGGGAATTGGCACATGACCTTCCGGTAGAAGCTTCCAATGTAACAGTTGCTGAA